CTGGCTTTGAACCCTGATACTAAGATCTAAGCCTCCTGAGTAGCTAGGACTACAGGTATGAGCAAGCAGTGCACCTAGTAATCACTGTCATTACTTCTTCATTTTGCATTAAAAGAGAGTGTAGCCAGATAAGGATTTGTCCAAAGTTATCCAACTAGTAAAAGGAAAACAAGACTATGTATGCAGTAAGTCTGGCTCCAGAACTCATTCTACCATTCACTCATATAATTAAAATCAGAAAAAAGAGATTGTAATTTTCAGAGACATATGTCAATATTACAATGTTAAGTAATAAGCTATAAACAAATGTTTAATCCCTCAAGCAACTAGGTGACTTACTGTTAACCAGTGATCAAGATGCCCTCATAGATGTTCTTGACCACATTTCTAATTCTTCTCAAATTCATTTTGGGAACCAATGACAGCAGAATAAATTATGTCATTATTAATAGAAATTTTGAATTCTTAGTTCAAATAAGCACTTTCATCTTAGAAGTGACAGGTAGCTTAAGCTATATAAAAGTATGTGAGAAAATTAAAAATAAAATAATTAAATTAATATTCTTACATTACATACTTGAAGTCAACAACTCAGGAGATATTGGCATTATTTTACAAGCAAACACCTACATAAAACTGCAATTACGATAAAGATTCTTGAAGAATATTGTTTTCATAATCTAAAAAGTGGTAAATCAAAAAAATTTTTTACTTGGAAAAATTACTTTCTCATAAAATATAAAAACTGCACAGAAATGGGAAAAACGTCTCTAGCCTCAGACTGTAAACCCACTAGAATTATGACAAAATGTTTTTATGAAGGTAAAACCATAAACTATGTTCTAATATGTACAATGAAGATAGTGACTACAAAAGAAATGAGGGTACTTAATTCTGATGTTTTTACAGTAAAAAAAAACTGTACTGCAATGTGAAGCTTCTTTAGTAAAATGGATGAGTAAATGAACATTCTGCTGAAGAGAACAGAAATAAGGAAAATATAGTATGTATTTTCTAACAGTCTGTTACAACTTACTGATAAAAAGTATTCCCAAAAGAAAGACTATCTCCAATGGAAAAACAATACTTATACTTCTAATTGTGGAGTAATCAGATCAAAAGAGCTACAGAATGCTGAAAAGTTTTAAGGAAAAAGTATAGTATACAATTCTATGCAATGAATAAATACTGACAATAGGGACACATTAATTAATTCATAACAAGAAAATGGGATATTTGAAAAACATATAGAAAGTACTACTAATATAAAGACCACTCTGGTGACTTATAAAGCTATGGAACTCATTACATCTGTACCCTACAAAATAACTAACCTGATGGTCTCTCTTCTCAGCTAAGATATAAGCAATGTCAGGGAGCATTTTATTCCAAAGCCGATAATCATATCTGGCCATAACTGCCTTGCAACTGTCCATGCACATAGTCTTTGAAGCAGAGGATTAAATGTTCCTGCCCATTTTATCTAGTCCCCAAGACTTGTCCTGCAAAGTGAATAAAAATGATTATCTTTTAATCTATGTCTTGTATACATACCATTTAAAAAAAGAGGGCAAAGATGTGAACAAAAAGCTCATAAAAGATGGATAATTATTATCCAGCCTAGAATTAAGTTCTCAGCAAACTTGCTGTGCTTAGCTGAAAGGTTCGTGACCAATAAATCTCATACTTTATACAACTGAGCTTTGGAAGATATAGTCATTTGGGTAGACAAATGGGAATTACAGTAGTATTTTGTAGTAACTTTAGAGAATGACTAAATTAATATAGCCATAATGTTAAATACCGTGTATTTTTTGACACCTGATTTCATAAAATAATTCAGAATGTAAATTATCTTCAAAATAAGGAAAAGAAGTTAGGTGAAGCAAATGGCATTTATTAAGCAATTTTAAAGGCTATTACTAGTGGGAAGAGAGCTGTTCAATGCAAAATGGATATGAGAAAAGCCATATGAAAAAAAATATATATAAGCATACATCCAAATAGCAGATGGAGACGACCAAAGGGATGAATACAGAAAAAAAAAAATAGTACAATAAAAGCTTCTGGAAATGAGCCAATGGGAAGGAAAAGGAAAATGGGCCATCATAAAAAAGGCAGTTAAAATACAGAAATACATCATTTACATGGCACTGAAGAACAAGTAAGAAAGAATTAAAGTGCACTGTTCAAAAAACGTACAAGTTCATGTTCTGGCTTATCTGTTTTCAGGGTGAGGGGAGGGTACTGAGATTGAACTCTGGACTGCTGCCACTGACAGAACGGTAGAGTCAGTCTACCACTGAGCTAGCCCAGTTCCAAGAAAATGCTTTGGTTTTTGTTTTTATGCTGGTCCTGGGGCTTGAGCTTTGGACCTGGGTGCTGTCCCTGAGCTTGTGTGCTCAAGGCTAGCACTCCACCACTTGAGCCAGAGCTCCATTTCTGGCTTTTTGTAGTCAACTGGAGATAAGATTCTCACAGACGTTCCTGTCTGAGTGGGCTTTGAACCAGGATCCTTAGATTTTAGCCTCCCAAGTAGCTAGGATTACAGGCATCAGCTACTGGCCTTACCAAGAAAATGTTTTAAGAGTCAAAATACTGTACATTCTTCTATATTTTCTCTTCTTAAGTAATTCTATATGTGGCATATGTTTAGGTCATATTCTTTTATATACTCATAGGTTTCTGGATTGAACAGAAGTAGCTTACTCCTACAGAAGAACCCAGTTTGTGCTGTACTTTTGAGACATATAATTTTTATTTTCCTTTATGTTGCAAATCATCATTTCAAAATAATATCAACAAGAGAGTATCTGAAGGAAATCTTCCATGAATTTTTGCTTCCTATTGTCCTGGCCATGGGAAACCAAATGATTTATTTATATATCAAGGTAATAGTGTTAATTTTTATGACAGCAGCTTCAGCATTCAGAATCAATTTCTACCTTATGTTAAATGATTATGACAACCAGGTAAATGGGCATTACTGTACATAGAAAGAAGATGCAAAAGGAGTAGAACATATTAAACAAGTAAACAAAACAAAGACCAAATGTGGAAAAGACTAACATTCATGAAATCAGAAAAAAATGTATAACAGACAACTTTTAAAATATACAACTGAGTGTAAGATTTTTCTAACAATGAGGGAACAGATATTCTCCAAACACAAACAGTTTTCTCTCCAGAAAGTTGCTGTATTTTTATTTGACTAAACATTTAATAGAGAGGTAAAAACACCTCTGTTTTTCTCTAAAATAATGACAAAAAAGAAACTACCCTCCAAACTATGTTTCAAATATGTTTGGCATACTACTCTAAGAAAGATGATAAGGGACACTTGTATCCACTAAATAGTTTAAGAAAAAGAGGAAATGCATCTGACTACAAATAACATCTTACTACCTTTATGACACAGGTCGAACCAGAGAATAATTAAATTTTATATATAGCAGTGTAGTAATGTATATTTCCCAAGCCAGAATCAACATCACCTAGAAATCTGTTAAATTCTGCTGACACAGACTTTTAAAAAGGTTTTGATATATGCCAAAGTTTAAGAACCAAGACTTCCAATGTAAATAAATTTAAATATCAAGAAAAAGAATGAATCTAAATCTGGTTCCCTCCTGGTAATAATTAAGATGAGTAGAAACAAAATTATTCCTACTGAAAATGTAAACTGGGAATATTTAAATATTTATCTACAGGCATATGTGCATATAAATACACATTCCATTTTACAAATAAAAAAGTAGTCATGTTAAGTAAGCTCAATTAATATGCTAGAGGAAAAAATATAATGATTCCTAAATTAACAAAATCATCTTGTGGAAAAACAAAAAAAAATGAATATAGTTAGGTGACAGGTTGTCAAGATAATTCTAAAATAAAGTGTGAAGCAAATCTGCAATCTCTCAGCTCTTCATATTAACTATAGGTTAATTAAAAGTTTAGATACATGTGTTTTAAGACATGTTTATTAGTAAAAGTAATAGGAAGAATACATGCTACTTTACTATATAGGATTGTTTCAAACAAATTTTATACACTTTTTTTTTTGGGGGGGGGGGTCTGGTCGTGGGGCCTGAACTCTGGGCCTGGACACTTTGTATATTTTAAAAGAGCAGTAAAGCCCGGCGCCAGTGGCTCACACCTATAATCTTAGTTGCTCAGGAGGCTGAGATCTGAGGATTACGGTTCAAAACCAGCCCAGGAAGGAAAGGAAAGGTCGTGAGACTCTTCTCTCCAATAAACCACTCAGAAAACTGGATGTGGCATTGTGGCTCAAGTGGCAGAGCACTCACCTTGAGCTGAAGAGCTGAGGAAGAGCACCCAGGCCCAGAGTTCAAGCCCCATGACCGACCACACCCCTACCCCCCAAAAAAAGAAGAATAAAAGAGGCAGGTACTGGTGACTCAACACCTGTCATCCTAACTACTCAGGAGGCTGATATCTGAGGATCATGGTTAAAGCCAGCCCAGGCAGAAAAGTCTGTAAGACTCTTATCTCTAACTACCAAAAAGCTGGAAGTGGTACTATGGCTCAAGCAATAGGCAGACCACTAACCTTGAGCAAAAAAGTTCAGGGACAGCACCTATGCCCTGAGTTCAAGCCCTAACACTGGCATCAAAAAAAAAAGTAGAAAGAAGAAAAAAAAATAGGATAAATGTGGAATTTCAACTATCATTAATTAGATTTACCAAAGTGTATTTCACAGTGGTCTTTTCAAACTTCTCTGTTATAATATATATAGGAAAAAAAATACACATGTAAGAAAATATTTGACAGCCAGAAATTTTCCATTTTTATTTTTAAGGCTGTTAATTGCCATCTTGGCAAACATGCAAACATTTTACTCTTGATAACACAAATTCTTCAGATTAATTTGTCAGGAACACAGTATATTTCAACATTTCATCTCAAGAGAGCTTAAGTAGACTAAAACACATACAGTAAACTCCATGAAAAAGAATGAATATGGTAGTTATTTTACTTACCAGCAAGTGTACTTGTGTGCCTAAAAGCTCTGACCTGGGAGTCAGACAAACCAGTCAGAAGGGAAATGACTGTGTCCATCATATACTCATCATAAATTATGCTATACTGACACTGTCGAATCAAGACTCCAATAAATTCACAAAAGTTGGAACGAAATTTTTTCCACTGAGGTCCAGGCATGGTAAGTGGATAATCACCACTGTCCTAAAAGGTATAAAAAGAACATACTAAACATGACACAATGGCAGATCAACCCTTGCTATTCTTTTCATTACTTAATTATATATTTATTATCTATAAGTAGTTGCACAGAAGAGCTGCCATTCAGGTACGTACCATGCTTAGCCACCTCTTTCATTATTCTCCTCATCCCTCCCCTCAGATACAATTAGCATATCAGCCACTGAAACAGTGTAATTAGGCAATTTGTGTAAGAATTGGAAGGCCATATACCTCATCAAATTCTTCAGTCATTTTCCTGATGATTTCTGCATTCTGCATATTTCGAAACATCTCTATTCTCACAGTACCTGTAAAAACATATATAACCATTAAAATCAATCTGCTGACTGTTTGAAATGTTATAGGAAACTTTGGGGATCTCCTTTTTACCCCTCAGATTCTTATTCTAAAGGACCTCTTATTTCGGAATACAGTGTTTTTGAGATGTTATTGAAAGACAAATCATAAGCACTGAATTTGTATAATAAATGGGAGTTTTAAAGACTGATTTTTAAACATATACTAATATTATCTACACAAATAGCTTGCTGCCATTGTCTTGAAAATTTAAGTACAGAGAATAAATTTATTGTATGGCTATTTCTGACCTTCTCTTTTTTCTTCACCCTCTCAGCCCCCCTCCCTTTCTTTGTGATACAAGAGCTTAAACTCGTGACTGCATGTAAGCTCCCAGCTGGCACTTCTAGCCCTAGAGAATTGCAATCATCCAGAATTCAACCTCCTGAGGAGCTAGGATTATAGCTGTGAGCCATTGATATAAATTAAAACAAAATACCCGTTGATATAAATGTTTTTTTCTGAGAATAAAAGTGGCTAAGTTCTACATAATTATAAAAAATCAAATATAAACCTTATCCTTTTTATAAAAATCTCATTCTTTACCTTGTTTTTTTAAAAAATATTTTAGATAAGGTCATAAAAATCAGTGCTCAAATACAGAGAAAAAAAAGAACAGTTTATATTTACAAGTTGTGTTTTAAAAAACTGTAATTTGCCAGGCTCAGGTGGATCACACTTGTAATCCTAGCTACTCAAGAGGCTGAGATCTGAGGATCACAGTTCAAAGCCAGCCCAAGCAGGAAAGTCCCTGAGACTCTATCACCCAATTGGTTAACCTAAAAAAAAGAAAGTGGTGCTATGCTCCAAGTGGTAGAGCACTAGCCTTGAGCAGAAAAGGTCAGAGGGAGAGCCCAGGCCCAGGCCATGAGTTCAAGCCCCATGTCCAACCAAAACAAAAACAACGACAACAACAAAAGCCAACCATATAATTTAAAAACTGGAATTTAAAAATAAATCTGGATATAGAGAATCCTGGTGTAATATTCAAATGAGTTCAGTTTAATATATTTAAATGTAACATATTAGCTTAAAAAAAAAGTCACAAGAATGCCTGTTGCTGGTGGCTCATGCCTATAATCCTAGCTGTTCAGGAGGCTGAGATCTAAGGACTGCAGTGCAAAGCAGGCTGGGCAGGAAAACCTATGAGACCCATCTCCAAGTAACCACCAAAAATGCTGGAAATAGAGCTGTGGCTCAATTGGTAGAATGCCAGCCTTAGGCACAAAAGGCTCAGGACAGTACCCAGGCCCCGAGTTTAAATCACAGGACTGGCACAAAAGAAGGAAAAATAATTCACAAAATTGAAACTGAATGAATCAGTGCATATTTATAACTCCTGGCAGAACCTTGCCAGTAACAACTAGCTCCAACTCAAATGATTTTGTAATGTATCAGAAAAGAGTCTGAAGTATATACAGGGTGTAGACAGAGAAGAGTATGGAACGATCGGTGTCGGCTTCATTCAAGTAAAACAAAAATTGCACTTGTATATTAATTTAATTTGAACTAATACTACTAGTCTGTGAAATTGGAAAAGTGACATTTGCCCTATCTTTCAATCAGAACCATTTTTAAGCACATTGATTAGTTGACGCATAGTTCTATTCTTTATATTCAGGAAGCTGAATTTATGAAGGTCTCTATCAACAGGTATCTCCTGTACTCAAGTATAAAGATGATCTGGTCTGGGCTGGCAGTTGGAGGAAAAGGAAGAATAGGTTTAAAAATTTTCTTCCCAACGTGGAATTTTTTAAGCAAATTAGGGAAATGCTGTTGTGACTTTTACCTTTTTAATAAAAACAGTACAGGAAACATTCTGTTTATAGACTCTAATAGAACCTTTTGCGGTCAAGATAAAAAAAATCAACAGTAAACTTAAATTGCTAATTGTCACCAGTAAAAGTTAATTTCCTGGCAGGCATTCATAAAACTAGTCAAATTAAACAAATTATAAAGTTTTACAATGTTAAGTAATTGGTAGTTTAACCCTATGTTGATGCCACAGATAATAATTTATATATTATATACTAACATACTATATAGTTATACATTTATTCTGGAGTTTTTGTGCACCTTTAATAATAAAATGGCATTCATTAAACACTAAAGAAATTAGATTTTTTAAAAAAGATTAAGCATGACATGGTGCATATTAACAGAAATACAGAAATCCTATGGATACTAACAATGCAAAAGTCACAACCATTAAAAATATCTCTTAGCTGAGCTCTGGAAGCTCAGGCTTATAGCTAGCTATGTAGGAGAGAGATCCAAAGGATCTTTGTGCGACATTAGCCCAGGAAGAAAATTCCTCAAGATTCCATCTCCAAAAATAACTAGCAATGTCGGGTGCCAGTGCCTGTAATTCTAGTTACTCAGAAGACTAAGATCTGAGGATGGAGGTTCAAAGCCAGCCCCAGCAGAAAAGATTCTGTGAGACTCTTATCTCCAATAAACCACTCAAAAAGCATAAGTGGTACGTGGCTCAAGTGGTAAAGCGCTAGCCTGGAGCATAAGGAGGCTCAGGGACAGCTCCCAAGCCCTGATTTCAATCCTACAACAACAACAAATACAACACACAGCAAAAAGCCAAGTTGAAGAATATGACTTAAGTGTTAGAACATCAGCAAAGCAAGCAAAAGGCAATGAATTCAATGCAGAGTACCATCAAACAAATGAAAAAAAATAAGTGCTCCTTAACTACATATTCAGATTACACTTTAATTCATAAGGTATACTTTACAAAAAGTGCACAGCGGGCTGGCTCCCATTTCCGACCTGTGCCATTCTCTACGCAGCCCTGGCAGCAGGTTGGAGGACAGCTGAACCTGCCCTGGTGCTGTGCTTCTTCCTCCTCTCTCCCGCAGGGTGCCCAGGCCACGTCTGTTCCACATCACAGCTGGGTGTGGAGGAGGTGGGTAGGTGGCTGCCACCCAACCGTTAGCCAAGGAGTGCCAATCAAGAGAGGAAGAGTGGCTATTCTTCTCCCCCATGAATACACACGCAAGCTCTGCACTCCATCAAAGGTCCCTCTGAAGGACAGGGCTGTCCTGGTGTCTGGGTGGGACCTGCCCAGGTGACTCTGTCAGAGGCTAGGGAGGTTTTAGAGAAGCCTCGAGTCATTTCTCCCTTCAGGAGGCACTGGGTCGCCCTGTGAGACTGAATGTGCAGCGGTGGTGGGCACAGGCCACCAATGGACTAACAGGCCACTTGAGTAATGACAGTGTGTCTGCTGGCAGGTCTGGGTCCTTAAGAGGCTGCCAGGTGGCTTCCATGCTTCAGGTATTTTGCTCCTTGCTACCCAGGCACATTCCTTTTGGGGTTCCAGCCCCTGCATGTTACCTTCAGGGGTCCCAGAGTGACCTCTCCACCTCTTAGAACAACAACAATACATACATAAAAATTTATTTTACTCTAACAAAAGAATTATACTGTAAAACCTGAGAAACACAAAAGGTATTGTGGGCGTCTCCTCAAGCCTGGAGCCGGAGAACAGAGCACCAGCTTATTTTTTCATTGTGACCTACAAATGAAGGGAATTAGTTCATCTATGGAAAAACGATAAAGGAGAAAAGAGGAAGAAAATTCTTACAAGTCTGAAGGAAAACTTTACCAATGTGAAGAAAAGAACTAGGCGATTATAACATACTGACAATGTAGAACAAGATTTATACGACCTCAAAGGTTCTAGATGGATTTGATGGGGAATTTAACGATTTTAGATAAGTTAATATTTTCTAAATTAAGACACTATATAAAGAAATGGAAAATCCTGGGAAAGCACTCTCTCAAATCCTCATTCCTAAAGGTTTAAATGACTAACCACAATTAAATGACATATTATTTGCCAAACATAATGTATGATTCTAATTACACAAGAACACATATAGTCATCAACTTCAAAATATCTTACAAATCTTCTGAGATACAGCCCAAATAACAGCAAAAACAATCTGGAATCACAAGAAAATCACAACAAAGAATTCTGGACCCAAACTACACGAGACATCAGTTTACAGTTATAAGGGAAACCTTGTAACTCACTGAAAAAGCAAATGCTTACTAAATTTTTTATGACAGTTATAGCCTATTCAAATGTAGTGTTTGATAAGTAGATATATGAAATTGAGCATTATTTGTCAAAAGCAAGATGAAATGATGTTGTTTTCAGAAAGAAAAAAAGTAACTGAAGATCATCATGCTCAGGGAGAAAGGCCAATCTCAAAAAGACAAACAGCACATATTTTTGCTCATATATGGAACCTAGATTGTAAAGTAGGGCCTGCCAGATAGAAGCAGAAGAGAGGGAAAAAGGGAAGTGTAATGAGTGAATATGTTGCAAGTATACTGCATATATGGATAAAAAGAGCAAAATGAAACCCACCAAAACCTGTTAAAAGGGGCAGAGGGAGAGGAGGTAGAAGAAAGAATACAGATGTAGGGAATCTGACCAAAGGACATTTCATGAATATATGTAAATATTGAAATAAACTTCTTTTACCATTAATCTATGGTAATAGAAATTTTAACATAATGTGTGATTTGTCATATAAGTTATAGATAAGCAGAAGAATCTACTCTTTTTCCAGTATTTTAGAATCTGCACTTCCATTACTACTTTTCAAACCTCTTCTGAAAAGACAGAGGTTTTCTTTAAGAGTCTCAAGGGAGAAAAGCAAATAGGATCCTACTAGAAATAATCAAATAGGATTTCTAGGAAGAAATAATAATGTTGGCTCACTAATCCAAATGCATATGGCAGTGTCAGGAGTCTTATCCTAAGAGATTTGAGTATAATTTCAGCACGGAGACATGAAGAAACTAGAGCATGTAAATTGCAGTTGTCAGTTTTAAGATTTTGTTGTTTCTCCATTCATTAAGAGTATAAAACCAGTATAAATGTACGATTTCATTTTCTCAAGAGGTTTTACTTTTCAGCTGGGTGTTG